TCTTATGGTAAAAAATTGGCCAAGAACCATGCTCTTCAGAAGTATCTGAATCTTGGGGGTAAGTGATTTCTGTCAGACTAGTTTGCCAGTATATAGAACAGGAAGGAAGAGCTTCTATCACACTTCTATGCATCAATGATTTGGCTTTGAAGTTGGTGCTTTTTAACTTGTTGCGGCTGTTAGCAATCCACTAGGGTGTCAGGTTCTTGAGCATACATTAAGTTTCGTACTTGGTGTTTTGCAAAAGCATAAAGACGTTGTGTTGCTTATCTAATATCCTTTTCTTGGTATTAGGTTCTTAAGTAGTAATTTAAACAACAGGTGCTGTGATAGAAAAATCTGCTCACTTGGAGGTGTACAGAGGTTGCTTATTGTTTTCACAGCAGCCAGGAAACAATTTTTTAATCACTGGACTGAGTGGCTAATTTACAGATGAAATGTACCTGAACTGTGTTACCAGTCCTGAGCTATTAAGTCTCTTAAAAATGTGAAGTCACATCCAGCAACCATCTATAAACTGTTGCAACAGACATACAATATTTTTAAGTGTTCATTTGAAGTAGGTGGGAAATACAAGTACAAATAATTTGCATGAGGACTCCAGACAATGCTCCTCCTCTGTTCCCCCCTGCCCCTCTTCACCTGTAGAAAGTTAAGAATGGAGATGAAACATTCTTGATACAAATGGAGTAAATCACTTTTAAACAGCTGCTCACAATATCTGTATTTTAGCCACTCAAATCCTTTGATCTCAATGTGTGATAATCTCAGTATTCTTATTGTAATTTTTTTTTTTTGCTAAGTGGTGACTTCTAATGTGATGGATTTTGGTTTTCCATCTGGTTTGAAAATAAAAATCAGTTACTTACTTGTTTTCCTATGGCTTAGACTACATTAGTGTATGCAGCCTTTGCATGCAATTGACTAAGCCATCATTAGGATCCCTGAGTTATTTTGGGATTTTGATTAATGTTAATCCTGTTACAAATGTTGCTTGGCCTTTAAGCCATATTCAGTGTCAAACAAAGTGCAGCATTCTGCCAATCATATGTAGCCTTCTCATACTCACTGAAAGATGTAGAGTGATTATAGGTCAGTATAACCACCCAAAACAGTAATACTGGCAAGGATTCAATGCTTAGCTGATTGTTTTTGTGTAGATGGTATGTGCATGTGCAGACATATTGTTGAACAAAAAATAACTAGATGAAGACAAGATGTGTGGTCCGCATAGTGCCCACATAGCATTGCTAGCTATTTTTAAGTGATGTTATCATCTAACAAATGAATCATGCATAGTCAGTGGCAGGGCTGGAACAATTTCTTGGCCACCTTGTGTTACAACCGTACCCCGGAGGATACCTCTTTGAGTTTATTTTCCTCCCTGCTGTTTCCTCAGCCTGCTTCCTAGAAACGGCCAGCGCAGAGGTTAGCTGTTCTGCTGGCTACTGTAGATTCACTTGCCTAGAAAGCATTTGTCTTAAAACTGTGAGTCTTAGCGTTTGCTCTGAAATAAGTTCACTTTAATTACAACACTTGAAAGATTGCTTTTAGAGCTAATTAAATTAGTTCTTTTTCATAGAGTTGTGAGGTTTCTTGTTTCTAGTAGCTAAATGGCTAGACTCCTGCTTGGAGTACTTCTCCCCACCTTTACTTGAAGGAATTTCAAACTGCATCTCCCATTTTACCCAGGAGAGTGCTAACCCCACAGAAGCCTGGAGATCATTGCTCTCTTTACTCTGTTGTAGGTCATTACTCTGATCTATTTCATATCATAGGTGACTGTTCATGTAACCAGAGAGAGTTTCTCTCACCAAAATATGAAAACACATGCCTATGTATTCTGCCTTCCATGCCACTCTGCTCTCTTGTGAAAGTGTTTGAGAACAGCGGAGACTGCCAGTATGGTGAGAAAAAAAATTGGACCAAAGCATCTATTGGATCAAGTTCAAATGAAATTGATTTGTTTCTCTCCCAGTCAAAGGAACCTGTAGTTCTTTGTATAGCCCTGTTAGTCAGTAGCAAATAAGTACTAATGTGTGATGCTTGTGGTATTTTCCCAATTGTGGAAAAACTGCTTTTCATTTTATTGAGGTAGATTAACAGTTGGGAAGGATCAAGTTCAAAATTGTAATGTTGAAAGTTGGTAAGGCCTGACAAGAAGGATAGCATCTGATACTTGTAGACATTTAAATGTTTTTGTATTTTCTTAGAGAGGATAAGATGATGTGCCAAATACAATTTTAGATAATATGTGTCACTGGGGTAGATATGACACATTAGTAACAGATGTAACTGCAGATGTGTCCTAAGCCACTAAAGTCTTGTGTTTTAAAGACTTAATTTTTTAATGTTTTTAATACATCTGGGTGGTGTAAGATAATTTCTTGTCAAGTGTGAAACCTCTCATCATTCAGACAAGCTATGTGACTATACCAAGGAGGGAATACCATATCAAGAAGGCCCTCCAAAGCAGTGTTTGTAGTTTGAATGGAAAAAGGGGGCTGAAGAAGCAGTTGCTGGAACTTAAAGTAAAAAAAGCCCCAAACCATTACTCTCCTCCCTCCGCCCCACAAGCATATGTTTTCAAGTCTCTGAAAATTCAAGTGAATTCTGGAGGAAAAAAATATGACTCTTTGGCCCTGCATTTGAATGTTAAGACCAATCTGTCATCCTTGAGACTATTGAAGATGTTGCATAGCCACAGCTTTCGATACAGGCTGATGCTATGCCTCCCCAAATGCTGTAAATTGCTGTATTTGATGGCCTTGCTTGGGCTTAAAGGAAACTTCTGTTCTTTGCATTTATGAAGAAAAGACAATATGTAAATCTCCATCTGATCATCATTGTGGTAAAATTGGTTTACTTCCATGGTAGTAGGACTGGTGAAATTGCTTGTATTGAACTTGCAAATGCTGTCATTTGAAGGAGGTTTTTGTTCTCGTACTACCAAATATTTTGTGTATTCACTGCCACTCTTGGGAGGGTTTTTGCCAGCTCTGTCTGAGATAATCTAATTTAATTTTTCCATATGCATACATTGTATGATCTTTGTTAATTCCTGGTTGGTTTTTTTTTTCCTCCTCTGACTATTTAGCAAGCCAGCAAATGAGGGCAGTGACAGTGGCATTGGCACAATGAATCATGCTGATAAACACCAACAGAATAGATAGTGAAGAACATAATTCCTCCTGAATTTTTTATATTTGCAGAGAGAAGCTTGGCGTTTCAAATAGTGTTTAAAATGGATCACAAGACTCCTAGATAGAATAACAATGTATATGTTACTTCACAATCCACAAAACTTACACGCACTTGCAGGTTTTTTTATTCAGATTGCTACATGTAGTGTGGTATGAAAAGGAATCTCTAGTTTCCCCTGCTTTCCTTGGTTCTGGATCTGTACTGTTGGGAGCTTTTTCACTTGTCTATTCATCAGTATTTAGGATCTGCTGCATGAGAAAGTTCTTGTACAATGTCTGGGGAAACAAGCGCAATGGAACAGGCCACAGTTGTGAATAAAGTATTTGCAACACTTAAGGCCATACTACATTACTGTCTGCCTTCTAAACTTGCACTGCCTGCCCCTTTCTTCAGCTCCTGCAGACATTGGAATTTGCCAAGCAGGAAGGGCAAATAGGTTTTTCCAAAATAATTGTGGCCACTCTAGTTACAGATCGCGTAATGGGAGGGAATAGCATCTCCACTTGTCATAGTATGCAAATGCTGGATCACACAGAACTCTGGAACCATGTGCCTTGGTGGTTTCTTTATTTCATACAGTCAGATAATAATTCATGTTGGAAGGGACCTCAGGAGGTCTCTAGTGCAACCTCCTGCTCAAAACAGGATCAGTAATGAGATCAGAACAGGTTGCTCAGGGCATTATCCCATCAGGTCTTGAAAACCTCCCAGGATGGAGACTGCGTAGCTTTTCAGGGCAGCCTGTTCCAATGCCTGACCATCCCTCATGGTGAAGCAGGTTTTCCTTATATCCAGTATGAACCTCCCTTGTTTCAATTTTAGTTTGTTGTCTTTCATCCTTCTGCCATGGTCTGTTTTCTTTCATCTTCCTGCCATGCACTGCTGTTAAGAACCTGGCTCCATCTTCTCAATAACCTTCTTGTATGTATTGAGAGGCAGCTCAGAGGTCCCCCATGCATTCATTTCTCCAGGCTGAACAAGTCCAGTTCCCTCAGCCTCTCCTCATAGGACATGTGGTCCAACACCCTGACAACCTTGATGGTCCTATGCGGAACTTGCTCTGGTTTATCAAAGTCTTTCTTGTAGTGGTGGCATAAAACAGGTGCAGTATTGTAGGTGCAATCTAATGAGTGCTAAGTAAAGGGGGATAATCACTTCCCTTGTTCTCCTGTTGTTAGCTTTCATCACTTCCTTGCATGTGGAGGAGGTTGTCTTTAAAGACCTGCTAGCTATCCTGAGCTTGTTGACCCTTCAGAGCTGTCTCCCATGGGATCCCACCTATCAGTTCCCTGAATAACTGGAAGTTTGCTCTCCTGAAGTGTAGGGTCTGTACTCCATTCAGGAGCTTGAATTACATTATTTCTTGGATGCTACATCC